AGTTTACAAAGGTAAAGATACACTCTGACTATGTAACTGGAGAGGTATATGTTTTGACCAGAACACTGGAAAGATGATTCTACAATATCAACAACATTAAAATCAACTGAAATGATGGGGCCAACAAAATGGTTTTCTTTTTGCAGTTCTAAAAACCCCTGCCCACATCTAAACACTACATACATGTCTACTGGCTCTTAAAAAGCAGTATAATAAAATATACTTTCAGATTTCTGGCTTATGTCATCCCTAAGACTTGGAAAATTTAGCGTAAAGGCTAGTCATTATTATCTATTGAAATATGATATGTGAAATACTTTAACTGAAATATGAAAATTTGATCAAATATAATTTTGTAGTTTGGAATCATCTCCCTGTGCATTGATATTACTAGGCATATACCATGTATTGCTATGGAAGCCGTATTGATTGCTAAAAATATCATCTTGGCATATTACACTAACATTGATTTGAAAAAAGTTGTGCATTCTGCCATACTTCACCCCCACCTCTGCAGAGTTCTTTCTGAAGGACTGTCTTCCTTCCTGGTCAGACATCTGTAACAATCTGCTCAGGGCAATGTCTTATCCTGCTAATAAGACTGAGCTGATCAGGTCACAATGTGCTAATTCGTTTGGCATAGGTTGCAAGGTGTAGGTTCAAATACTCATTCAGCTGTGAAGCTCACTTGGGTGGTCCCTAAGAACCCAACCAACTGGAAAAACAGATGTTAAGAACCATGCTAGTTTCTCTGTCTCTGGAACAATCACAGCATGAACTGAGAGAGAGAGAGGATTTATCCCAATATATCATTGTTTACTTAGGCCCTTCTTCATACATTACTGTAAACATCTCAAAAAGGGTGAAGACGTGCTGCCAACCAAGTGTTTCCTAGAATAACGTGGTGATACTAGCAAAAATGATTGAAAAATCTCATATGAGAAAAATAGAACCCATTCTTTAAAAAGGAAAGAAAAATCCAGTTAGGAACAATGGGTATTAATGCCAGAATTCAAGATCAATGGCTTAAGAAATAGATCAGTTTTTCAGCTTGGATATAGAATGCTTTCAAATGTCAATATTTTCACCATATTTGCAATTATTAAAGTTTTAGTAAGATTGTACAGTAATCTTATAGTCAAGTTATACTGAGTAAGGGGCCTCAGAATTTGGTGAAACTCCATTGCACTTGCAGAAACTGCCATCATCAAAGATATGCACGTGACTAGCATATCTGCTCAGCTGCTAAAGATATACGGCAGAATGGTTAAAGCAAATTAGGGCTGTGGGCAGGATGAGGGTGGCACAGAGAGGAGTATCCTAACGCCATATCTTATCATCCTCCAGGTGACTCCTCTGGCTCAGCTTGATGCCAGTCCTGGATCTGATATGAAGAATCTCCCTCCCATTAACTCTACTGGCCAGGGAAATGTCAAGTGGTAACCACCTATTACACAGTTGCAGGTGGCAACAGCACTCCCAGGGAAAAACCACCAAAAATGAATTAAGCAATTGGGCAGAAACATGGCTGTGAGGGAGGAGGTATGCCTCCAAGTATGTATGAAAACTCAGGAATGTTACAAATTCTCACATACAAGTTATTCCCCAAGTATTTACTATACAAAACTAAGTACGCCTCTCACAATTAAAGCCCATGTATGAATATGACTGTAATGAAAAGTGAAATTTTATGTAATGGTGCCCAAGAGAAAATGATTACCAAGAAACAGGCCCAGCAAACCAAACCATAAGCTTGGACAGTGCATGGACAACCACATGTTGGGGATTATATGAGTGGAGCAGGCTGGAGCAGGGAGTCAGACTAGATGGCCTGGGAGGTCCCTTCTGGCTTGCTTTGTTTCTATGTCTATCTAAGGCTTCAGTCTTCATAGAACCTGCTATTCTGATAGCTTGTTTCCAGTTCTGGATCTCTGTGACTCAGTTTTTCTGCTAACCAAAGTGACACTGATGCACATGATCTCCATCCAGCCCTCATTTGCAGTTGCAACCAGAATCCTCAATATGAGGGCATATGAGTGCAGGAAGTGAGTAGGAAGCAATACAAATGTTGAAATAAAATTTCCAGTGTTCTGAAAAAGAACAAAAGAAAAAAAAACACATGCCCACTATTTCAAAGTTTCCCCTCTGGAGGAGCAGACTCCCTCTAAAGAGTTAAGCTATGGAATTCACTTCTTTACCATGTGGTAATGGCTATTAATTTGGAGGGCTTCAAAATGGGATTAGATGAATTAATGAATGATAAGGCTATCAATGGTTACTAGTCATTATAGTTTTAAATTACCTCTAGGAAACCAATCCCTGCTGAACAATGGGGCCTGTAGTTCATGAGCTTCCTTGAAGGACCTGCTTTGCAACTGTGGGGACAGAACCTATACTACATTCACCCTTGCTCTAATCCAGCAGGGCCCTTAAGTGCTTAAGAAGCTGGGTGTGACAAGGATAGTTCGGAAGACAAAAGGACAAATAAATTAGAAGCCTTAATTTAGCAGAGCAATCTATTTTGCATGAGTTATCATGAAAACATGTTTTGGGACCAGAGCACTTTTGGCCCCTTTACCTTTCAACAACTGTTTTTAGGTTGCTACTGGAGTGAGGAAGGTTTGCACACAATACTACCTTACCTTCTATCATGGAAGCACTGGAAATAATACAATAGAAAAGCCTATAGCTCAAGGTCAGGGTTTATGCTTTGCATGATTTGCATCCCTGGACTCTCCAAGTAGTATTCTGAGGTGTGGGGAAAACCCTGTCTGATTAGTTAATCAATGTTGAAAAAGATAGCTCATTAGTCTGACTTAGGATAAAGCAACTTCTGCTTTTTTCTAATGCTAGGCAACAGCAGAATTTAAAGTAACGTTTCATTCAATTACATAATTTGACAGAGTCAGAGACTGGGATCTGACAGGGAAGGATGTCTAAAAAAAGCTGTACTAAAAACATAAAAAAGAGCAAAAATAAAAAATAGATGCCTACCTGATTAGAACTAAATAGGTGGCATGCATTTGATAACCTCCCAAAAATAGAATTTGGGATTTTATAGGAGGGGGCAAGGGTTTTTTCATGAGCTTTGATGGGGAAATTGTTTATACATTCAGGCAAGCAGAAAGTGAACAGTTGCATCTGTCCGTTTTACAGTGGTACATCGGCTCACAAATGCCTCAGTTCACGACCAAATTGGGTTGCAAACAGAAATTTCATTAAAATTTTGTCGCAGGTTGTGAACTCTGCACCGGGTGACAATCGTGAGCCCGCCTGCCTTCCCTGCATGGGCATGATCACGGTCGTGCTGGTGGGGGGAGATGGCCGTGATCTTTTTTGTTCTTTGTCACTTTGCTTCAAATTTTTGTGAGTAAAAAAAATAGTTGCAGAACGGATTAACCTTATTTACATTGACCCTTATGGGGAAATTTGACTTGGCTCACAACCAATTTGGGTTACGACCAAATCCTGGAATGGATTAAGTTAACAAGCATACAGGATTAAGTTAACGATCTGTACAGTGGTACCTTGACTTATGAACGCCTCAGTTCATGACCGAATCGGGTCGCGTACAAAAATTTCATAAAAAATTTAGCTCAGGTTGCAAACGTTGCATTGGGTAGCAACCATGATCACGGCCATCTCCCCCCCCCCCCCCCCCCGAGTTTGGAGATGGCCGCGATCAGTGTTTTTGTAAAAAAAAAAAAAGGTGCTGGAACTCACATAGTAAGCACACACACCAATCCCAAGCCAAGCAGCTTCCTGAGAAGCTATCCCTCACTATCAGATAGCAGATAGCAGACACAATAGCAGCCTGCAGGCACTATGTTAATGATGTTTGTTGCTGATCTGCTACGCAAAATCACTTTGTAAAATCCATTGGAAAAAAAGGTGTGTTCCATGACAAAAAAAAGCCCTGGCGGGGGAGATGGCCAAGATCGTGCCTGTCTTTCCTGCAGGAGCACAACTGTGATCTCGGCCATCTCCCTCTGCAGCACGATCGCACCTGTCTCCCTGCCCCAGTGCGCCTGTGTTTGCGCCTGTCTCTCCTAGGATGTGTGTGCCAGTGTGCCAGGATGACAGGCACGTACAGGGATGACAGGCATGATCGTGGTTGTGCTGGGGCGGGGGGAGACGGCTGCACTTGGGGTGGTGGGGGAGATGGCTGTGATCTTTGTTAGGCTTTGTCACTTTGCTTCACATTTTTCTGATTTAAAAAAGTTACAGAACAGATTAACCTTATTTACATTGAAACTTATGAGGAAATTTAACTTGGCTCATGTCCAATTTGGGTCACAACCAGAGTCCTGGAACGGATTAAGTTCATGAGCCAAGGTACCACTGTACTTCATTTCTACAATGGAGCAAAGGAAAGGATGGATCTACTGAAGTTCAGCCTATCATTCAAGTATAGTAGTCCTGTTGGGAGGGTGATGGAAAGGAAGATGCATCTTCCAGAAAGTGCAATCTTTGTCCACTTGGTGTTGTACATCCTTGGACAGAGGTCATGGTTATTTATTTCAAAGCTCTTTGAAAGGAAGCTTTTTTCTGTCAATTTTATCTGGGGTTTTTTTTTTTACATTGACCCCTCCCTATTGATTTCCATTCATTTCGCATCTGCAAATGGCGGACTTTTAAACTCTATAAACAACAACCAGAACTCTTTCCAGACCATCACTAGGACAGAAGCCCTTTCTAAGTCCTTGGCAAAAAAAAAAAAAAAGCTTTTTTATGCTCCACCCTCCAGGCGTTGCCTCCTTCTTACTTCACAAACCGAAATTAGCCTTTCTCTACCTTTCGTGACGCACACACGCTCTCCAGCTCCCGCCCTCCTCCCCACTTTGTGTTAAGAAACTTGCTGTCATAGGACCACAATCTATGCAATAGAGTTACACATGACGCAAGAGGGTCGCTTTCCGCTTTCCGGTCCCCTTAGCTATATGGGAATTTTTCGTTCCGCCCATAGAGACCAGCTCCGCCTCTGTCTCTTCTCTCTATGGTAGAGGCACGAACGGCTCTTTTAGAGATGGAAGCCGACTGGGGCTTTTCCTCGCGAATATAATTTTTTTTTATTACGTGCTGAGCCGCTCTATCTCTGACTGTTCCTCTAGTGTCTATGTTTCCGTTAAAGGGGCCGCTTGGCTTTCAGAGCTGAGGACACCCGAGATGCTGCTTACGGTGAAGGCGCTGCAGGGCCGGGAATGCTGCCTCCAGGTAGCCTTTCGTTCTTCCAGGCGACCGGGGCATAGTCAGGGGCCAGGGTCGGAGGCGGAGCTGTTCTGCGGAGAGGGGCAACCCAGAGGACAGGGTGAGGGGAGTCACCCGGAGGACCTGATTGAAAGTAGAAGGCCAAGGGAGGAGAGTCCATCTACCAAGGCGGGCGGACAGAAGTGATTGTGAAGGGTCCCCGTCCGCCAAAGTCGTCAGAACTGCCGTCTCTGGCTCTCACTCCCTTCTTTCTGCCGCCCTTTGATAGACCCTGAGTTAAGCCTTGCTGAAATGCGTCTTTAGTGCTAGGGCTGAGGCCTGGGGTGAGGGTAGGGAAGAGAGCATCTCTGACCATGTGTAGTGTGCTTCCGCTTCCTAGGAAAGCAGCCACGAGCAGCCCCTTGCAGCACTTTAGATGTAGCGTTGAGAGTGTACAGCATAAATGTTATTTCATACCTTTATATCAGTCTTTCTTCTGTCCTGGAGCCCAACGCAGTGTAAGTTAGGCTCCCTTCCTGGTAGTGACCAAACCCAACTGGATTAGTTTCAGAAAGTGGGTTCCTGTGCTTCAAACCATACCTTTGTGGGATTTGAGTATCTTCCCAATGGGCTTGAGCACAAAATACCTCTCATGTTAGGAAAAACATTTTTTTAAATATCAAATGTTTATATTTCTAAGAATTGGATATATATGTAAGTTACTTGAAGTTTTTATGGTATAAAGCAGTATATTAATAGTTTAAGGACACAATCCTATGGATGTTTAGACAGAAGTCTTCCACCTCCCAGTTTCACTCCTCCCAGCCATGCTAGCTGAGGAATGCTGGGAAATGTAGGACTTTTTTTCAGTTTAAACATGCACACAATTGCACCTTAAATGAATAACAATAATTTTAGTAGGCTTTGCAAGAGCTGTGTAAGACAGAGCTGTATTATTATGATCATTCCACATTACAAATGTGAGGGGCCAACACAGACTAAAATTAGACAGTGGCTTGCCTAAGAATCTCAAAGATTTAATGAGCAATTAGGGACTTGAACTGTGCATTTCTAGTTCATAGTTTCTATTGCTAAATAATGTCTGTTTTCTCATAAGGCTTTATTGGTTGGGGAAGAAGGAAGAGCAGTCAACTCTAGATTAAGATAAAATGCCATATCAATAGTAACCTTATATCAGAGCTGCCTGAGAGGCAGAAATCTCCACAATGAGAAAAGCACTTGCTGGCTTTCTGTTTTTCATCTAATTGTTAGACACAGAAATTCTAGTAAGGAGGAGGAGAGGGAAGTGGTGGAAGTAGCCATAAATTAAATGCAGAACAACATTTCTTCCGTGAGAATAATTTGTCCATGAGGCAAGCATCTGAAAGCAATTGCAGCTGGATGGGAAGCCTTTCTTAAAAGGGCCTACTAAAGGTTAGGTGGACTGGACAGACTTCTTTACATGTGTAGAGGCTCCAAAGATGCATTGGATCTGCTTTCCCTATTCCAGTTCTGTGCTTGATTATGATTCTCTGGGGTATAACATTTCCTCCTGAGACTGTCAATTGTGGGATCTATTATCCCCATTTTTCTTTCTCACCGCATTTTTCTTTCTCAGGTTTCCCCTGATGAGCGCATCTCCTCTCTCAAACGCCTGGTATCAGAGAAGCTGAATGTCCCAGTGTCACAGCAGCGCTTGCTTTTCAAAGGCAAAGCTCTGGCAGGTGAGTGTTGATAGTAGGCACTTGGAGAGGGATAAACAAACAACCAGTTCATTTCAGTTAGGAGGTAGGATTGCATTTGTTCTGAAGCCCATAGATAACTTCTTTCAAGAAACACTTTGAGCATTTTAGTTATTGTGCATAAAAGTAGTTGGACTGATGATTTCTTTTAACCATGTTTGATACAGCCAGTCCCAGAGAAACTGCTTAAGAAGCCATAAGTCTTCTCTGGGAGAAGTTTCTCCTGCTTTCCCCAGTTTCAGGAAATTAGCAATGCACATAGATAATGCATATGGCTTTTCCTGGCTGTGATTGTGGCCTTCTTCCACTGAACTGGCCCTATTGTAGCCTGTTGTAAGACTGACTGCACCATTAGGTAAAGTGAGCAGCTGAGCTTGGGAGTCAAGGAAAGGTAACAAGCTAGTTGTTAGTAAGGGTATAGTCCTAAGCACCACAGCCTTGATGCTGGTAAGCCCTTAAACTCAGAGTGTTGACTGCATCCTACCCCTGAAAGAAGGTACAATGGCAACAATCTGCACTGCTGCTGTGTCTCACACTGGGTATTTTATTTAGATGGCTGTTTTGCCTGTTTAGATAAAGCCCTGGGTGGGATGGAGGCTGGGGTATTGTTAGGAATCAGCACACGTCTTTCCATGCCAACTGCAAGACTGGACTGGAAGGCCATTTGTTCTGCACTCTTCATTTATTATCATCATGTTTCAATAACCTTGTGTTTTTATGGGCTTTTTGTCTCAAATGCTAAGAGAACATGGCCAGCCTTGTACTGTGCAACTTGGCTTGAAGGGGTATCATTTGCTGTTCTCCCTCAGGCAGCTCAGTTTTTTGGGCCAGTCCTCATCTGTATGTGAGGGGGCATCTGAGGACAGGGGCCAGTGGGATTAGTTTGGAGCTATGCTTGTGTGGGGGGCAACAATTGATGGAAGCATTCACATAGGTGGGGGCTTGCTTATGTCAACAGCTGTAATTATTGGTGTATATATATATAAAAAGGCTGAAATTTATATAGGAAATAATATTTTAAGAATCATTAAAATTGTGTGGAGTCTATTTTATTGTGCCTGCATCTCTACTAAATATTAGTAACATATAAATGGAGTTTGAAAATACTCTTTCACTATCTGAATTCTCATGACAGTTGTTCAGATTGTGCAGATTTTTGTCCAACCTTTTAAAAAATAATTTGTCCTTATTAGCTTTGAGCCTCACAGGAGTGAGTTTCATGGGTTGCCAAACCTCCCTGGATTTACTGATCCATTTATTTCATTATGTATGAAATAAAGAATGTAGATGCTTTTTCACTGGGGGTATATGTATTTTCAGCCCAGCAAATTTTAAGTTAAATCCAACAGTTGCATTCTGCTGAAGGTGTGTGACTCTCCCTCTAAGCCAGGGGTCTCAAACTCAACTTACCTGGGGGCCGCCGAAAGTAGAGTCTGGGTGAGGCTGGGCTGCATCAAGTATTCCACCACTGCGGTGGTGGTGGGCCGCTCATCCCGCGTCCGGCCCGGGCACCACCGGTGCTTTGAAGGCCGCAGGGCCCCTCCCCCGTGCCCCACCCGTCCCAGCAATTGGCCCGCGGGGCGAATGCTTAGCTCAGCACAAAGAGCCTTGCGGCACCTTAACAGGTAAAGAATATCTTATGGCTGAATCTTTTCTGGACCAGAGTCTGCTTCATCAGAATAGATACTTCTGACAATCTTGGATTATGATTTCCTGCATCGAGTGGATTCTGGTCCAAGAAAGCTTCTGCCCTAATCAGTGTGATTATTTTAGATGCCACAAATCTCTTTGTTGTTTTGCTACAACAGACTAACTTGTCTACCCACCTGGAAATAGGCCTTCAGTTTATTCCATTGTAAATGGCAGCCTTCAAATACATATGAAACCTTGGCTGGGATGCGGCAATGCTTTGGGGCCCTGTGAAAGATGGTGTTGCAATTGCTCAGCTTCCTCCTGGGCGGCAAGTTGTCTGTCAGCATCTATGCGTGTCCTTCCCAGATGAACACCGACTGTCTGATTACTCCATTGGGCCTGAGTCAAAGCTCAACCTTGTGATCAAACCGTTGGAGAAGGCATCTCCTGAAGAACCTGGCCGCAGAGCTGGTCCCCCGCAGAGTCCTGCCATCTGGCACACTTTGGCCCAGGTCCTGGGCAGGCATTTCAGTGTGGCTGATACTGAGAAAGTACTGGAGCAACTGCAGAAGGTAGCTTCCCTTGCAGTAGCGCAAGTGTCGGGGGAGGGCAGGAGCCCCTCAGCACTGGCTTTACTGACCCAGCCAGTGCTTAAACACAGTGGTCCTTTCACACATGCAGGGCATCACTTCATGTTGCTATTGTCAAGACTGTATCCACAAAGTGGTTGCGTTAGAAGGATAAGGATTTTATTTAATTTAGATTTTTTTTTTATGCTGCCCATAAGCCCAAAACAGTTCTCTGGGCAGTTTAACCAGATTAAAATCTGTTGCTACATTTAAATGATTGTATTAACTTGCCCTCTCCAGCTTCCCTAATCTTGAAATCAGCATACTGGGCAGCCAGTTTTGCATGAGGAGTCATAGTGAGGAGTATGAGGACTGTCACCACAGGGTGGGTGTTGCCTGCTCTGACATATTTTGGCCTATGGCCCTGCATTTTCAGCTTTCGTTATAATTAACCATTGAAGTTTCTATTCCCCTTTACTTACAAAGATATCAAGAAAAGTGCGGAGGCAGTATTTTCACCCAAGCGATAAGTAACTTCCACTTTCCGTCCAATGAGCACAAAGGTAGTGGGATAACTGCTGGGCCGCTCCAGTTTTGACATTCACTAAATTAATTCATATTTGGTTAAAATGATTAAATTGTATCCATCCTTAAAGATAGTAAGCTAGCTGTGTTTAGATTCTAGATGTTTCCATTATCATATACTATATATAAAATCACCCCCCCCCCAAGATCCTTTTGCCCCTTCCGCTAGAATTTTTGTACCAGTTAATCAGGCAGCTATTAAATTCTTTCTCTGCCCTCTCCCTCCCTCCCCTGCTCCTTTTCTTTAGGATTATGAGCGGAGCCTTCGATTGCTGAGCTTGGATGACATTGAGCGCATGGCTGCCCGCTTGCTGCACCCTGAGGTGGCTGAGGCTGTAGAAATGGGCTTCCTGGATTAGCTGTCGAACTTGGGAACTGAGCCCTGTCTGCCCCTTTGGACAGAGAGCCCCCGGGCGGGGACCAGTTTGGGGCTTACTGGGAACGATCCCTCTGGACTGCTGTTAAAGGGGCGTAGAGCATCTGTAACTACTCCCCGTCCATTAAAGGAGGCGATGGGTGAGGCTGATCTGCTCTGTCTGATGTGTCCAGTGGAAGTGGGAAAATGATGTTTATAAAGAGATTGCCTGTGCATATCAAGAGATGGAGCTACCTCTTCCGTTAGGGGCAGCTGTGTTTATACATAGATTTCTTGTTCATCACCGGAGCCTGATGACATCTAATAGATTCATATTTATTGTTTTAATCAAAGGCCATCTCCAGAGTAATGTTCACCAGAAATTACAGGAAGAAAATGAAATCTGAATAATACAAATTTAGATTACAAAATTAAAAAAACTTAGTATTGCTGCTTTCTAGTGTGAATGTATAAACTTGAGGCATATAAATTATCCCAAGTCCCCTGTACAATCAATAGCACCTGATGCGACAAACATTTGTCTAATGTTCTTGTTGATTTGTTTTTATTACAATTTATGTATCAGCTCTTCAAAAGCCAAGGCAACTGAACAGCACAATCCTAGGCATGTCTACTCAGAAGACAGTCCTAGTGAGTTCAGCAAGGTTTCTACCAGAATGTAGTCTATAGGCACAATTCTAAGCTCACTGGTTTATCAACTGAAGGGGGTTAGAATGAGACAGATTCCTCTTGCCAGGAGAAGCTTAACTCTGCTGTCAGAACACACCTGTGGAAAGGCTTCTGCCTGCTGCAGAAGGACTCCATCGTAGTCCTAATGATGAGGCAGAGTCTGCGTGGGACATGAGCCTTATGGAGCAGGAATATTTTCTCCCTCTCCCATAACACTAGAACCTGGGGTCATCCCATAAAGTTGGCTGGTGGAAGGTTTAGGATAGATGAAAGGAAGTACTACAGTGTAAAGTTAAACTATGGACTTTACTGCTACGAGAAATCATGATGGCACCCATTTGGATGGTTTTTAAAGGGGGATTGGACAGCTTCATGGAGAAGGAGGCTATCAGTGGCTACTAGCTACTGGCTATGTGCTACCTCTTTTTTGGAGATGCCATGTTTGCATGCAGCAGTGGCAGAGGAGGCTGGGAATGGGGAGAGGTCTTGCACCCACCCTGCTTGAGTGATCCTGTGTGCAGCTCGGTCGTTACCATGTGTTTAGAATGCTTGACTAGACAGACCTTGGGTTTGATCCAGTATGACTTTTCTTACGTTCTTATGAATATGTCTCTGCTGAATATCCCCAACTCTTCATTCTGCTCTCCCACAGCAGAAATCTGCCAAGTCAGGAACTGGAATAGGTAATTGCCATCCTGTTGCCTCCAATGGAATTGTGTGTAGCTGGGGGGGGGGGGGGGGGGTTTTTCCCCCCCCCCCCCCCACATCTTCCACCAGTTTTTTCCTATGTTTCATCCTCCCCTCCCAAGCTGTGGATGATTTGGTTCTGCAGATGTAACTCCATTTCCCTCCTCAGTCTGAGTAAATGTGAAACTGTAAATCATGATATTCAGCACCGCTGTTAGAATTACTGCTGTTCTAGTAATCAACTTCTGTGTGATTTTGAATGCAGCAAGAGCAGAAAGGATGAGTTACAAAGTGATTTGTAGCTTTCCAAGTGGATGCAGTTCTCTCCGATCAATGCTTCAGGGACTCATTTTGTTCAAAGCATGCAAGATATTTTTTTACACAATAACAGGAACATTCAGACAGTGTGGTAGATGTTGCTTCTTTGGGGCATCACAAACACAAAATCTTTGGAGATGGTTGTTTTTTTATTGCTCCCCTCTAATACAACCTTCCCCAACTTGATGCTCTCCAGTTTTTTTGGATGCAGATCTCAGCATTCCTGGCTATTGGCCATGCTGGCTGAAGCTAATGCCAAAGTTCAAAACATCTGAAGTGGAAAAAGTTGGGAAAGGGCATTCTGATACAAATGGGCCCTTTTAGTAAGCAACAGCCAATCTTGCCTTGTATGTTGTTTGCAAGGGGTGGCCAGATATATATAGCTGAGAAACCTGGGCCCACATCATGGCAAGGGACCAAAAGTGTTTTCCACAGTGCTGTAATCGTCTTCATGTGTACAAAGAGAAACTGGTAATTGTGGGCAGTGCTCAGAACAGCACAGCCAAAAGAGGAGTGTGATGCTGGAATTCCCCAGTACTATCCACTATCATTTTGTTTCCCAAACTTAAGCACAGCTACAGGGGCTCTGCCTGTGATATGAGCAGCAGTTATGGGGGAGGGCAGTGTGCAGCCCATTCTGACATCTCCATATTTTGTATATTTAGTTTTACACTTGTATGCCGTCCCCTACTCCAGGTGGAGACTCTGTGCTGCTTACAACACTTATCATATTTGAATTTCCCTTCCTCACAAATCCTTTTGAGTCTTCCAGGAAGAAAAATATGAAGCACTTTATCATGTCTTGTTGCTTGGATTGAAGCAACCTTGCCTTTTGTGTGTGCGGCTGGGGCGGGGGAGATAGGATTTAGATTTGAAAAACAGTACAGGAGACAAGATGAAAACTTGCCACTTCTCCTTGCAGTTCTGATTTTATATGTGGGAGGAAATGCAATGGTAGATCTGGCCATGGCTGTCCATCAACAGCCCCAATAGATTCACCTAATTTAAAAGTGTGTTGCTTGTGCATGGCAGTATCAATGTCAAGATGTCTTTGGCTCTGTAACGAACCCCAGAGACAGAGCTTGTGAAATACTATTAATCTGCACTTGGCAATTTAAACACTGGACCCAGGCTGGGCTCTTGTTGGATATTCATGAGAATAGCCTTTGTGGAATAAAAAGGCATAAGCTGAAGTTTGTTTTCTTAGGGCAGGGGTGATTTACCATACCAGAAATGTAGACTATCATAAACTTCCCGGAAAGCAATCAAGTTCCAGGCACAAGGTCAGGCGAAGCAAGGCAGCTAATGATGGGGGGAGGGGGGAATAGCCTATTTGAGCCTTCTACAACCTGCCCCCCACCCCCACAAGGGATTTGAACTACATTTCATTAATTACCTTTCTATACTGTCCCAAAGCCAAAGAAATCGGGGTCATTTACAAAGATAAAAATCTTAGAAAAAGTGTTATGCATAATAGAAAAACAGTTTAGCTACAGAGCAGGCACACATAGTTAAAGGTCTCATTATCTGTTTGTTGACCATGCTGACTGTGGTTGATGGGAGGTATAGTTCCAGACTGCTGGAGGGCAACAGGCTAGCTGCAATTTTTTATGGACCTCTCACACAGCGACTGTTTGGAACAGGAGTTATATTTGCCCTGAAATAGAGGCTTGGAGACGCAGTAAGTGCAAATGCACTGCCAAGAGAGTGACAAAGCTGGGGGAGGGCCCTTTTTAACCCCTTTCTCCCCAGTGCGAGCCACAGTGTCCTTGCACCGTGCCCTTCCGCACCTTCTCTCGCTTCAATCCAATTTGTGTTGTTTTGCCTTCGGTACAGGAAAGAGCAGCTGAACTGCACAAGGGGAAAACTCGAGACTGGCTGCTGTTGCTGTCACTGTCTCATCTGGACTGCTGAGATAAAAAGCCCCTTGCCAATATGTTTGGGAGAAAGCAGTTGGCAGGTATCATAAAGGCAGAGAAGGTGGGTGCTGAGGGTTTTCGCTAGGGACCAGCTTGGGTCTCTTGGCTGCCAGCTCTTACCTTTCAAAACAAAACAACCAGCTGTTGAGCTGATATGGTGGTTCTGTGCCCTGCAGAGCTGTTGCAAGGCCTGAACCCCTGGGAGCCCAGCCCTGAATGTATTTACTAGGACCTTAGATCTTTTCCCAGCACTGAGCATTTCTATAGGGAAGTGTTCCCCCGCCCCTTGTCTTAGGGCATGATCGCATGCATGTTTACATAGAAAAAGTCCCATAACTTCCAGCATTCCAGGAATTATTTTCTGTATAAGCATACATAGGATCGCATCTTTAATTGCCATGTCAGGGGCAATTTTCAAGGGAGATTGCAAATGGGGAGGGAAGCCCTAACCCAGCCTCCTTTCCCCCACATGCTGCAATACCACCACCCAACATAGCAATTTAGCAATTAAGCTTAGAAAAACATCTTCCATGGGTGCCAATAGAAGCTGTTGAAAGGGCCCATTTTAAAAAACACCTTTCCCAGATGCTCTCATGCGTTTTTTCACACCTGTGCTCAGAGAGAGAAACTGAAAAGGAGCTACTGATTTAGAAACTTGTGGGTTGGGTGCAAATTAATGAAAGAATTTGTTTTCTTTGGTGTGATTTTGATGAGAAATTAATTGGTTGACTTTGCCATCTGTGAAATGAAAATGAGCACAGGTAAGAATTTCTTGTCTTACAGTGTTACTTTGGCATAATAGTTAGAAAATGATACTGGGACTTGCAGGATCCGGGTTCTATTCCCTAAGCTCAGCCGTGAAGCTTACTCACTGACTTTGGGCCAGTCACTGAGGCCTAGCCTACCTCACAGGATTGTTGTGAAGATAAAATGAAGAGAAAGAGGTCCATGTAAGCCACCCTGGGTTCTTCACAAAAGGAAAAAAGTGGGATAGAAATGTAACAATAATAGGGATATGATTCAGAATATTTTTGTGCTAATCTTCATTGTCCAGTTTTGAGATCGGTATACAGTCATTTTTATGTACAGCAAAGATGAAAATGTGATGCTTACATTTGGGGGAGCACACACTCTTTTTTCAGTTCAAGGATTACAATATTCAGTGGGGGAGAGAATCATACATCTTACATTCAGAATTTAAGCCATGTTGGTAAAGCTACAATATATAATTTTTTAAAATTGGAATGCTATCACTGCAGATAGCAGGATCTATTGATGGAACAGCATTTTACCCAACCCCATAATAAAAAGTAGGCATGGTTACTTAATAGAGCTTCCATATTCAGGGGCAGTATACTGAATATCAGTTGCTGAAGAGCAACAGAAGGAAAGTGCTGTAATGCAAGTCATTCATATGTACTAGCAGTCATCAAGAGCTGATTCACACCTGCATGCTCATCATTTCAGGATTGCACCATCATTTAAGAACTGACAATCCAGTTAGCTTGAATATTGCCTTCAGCACATTTTTTCCAGTGGGAGGATAGGGGTTGATCTCTTTGGTTGAAACTCATCAAGAATACAATAATCCAATATGGAGAACTTGAGTTATGTATGTCCCTGTAAATAGTCCCCAAGCATATATGATTGGGCCTGACATGCAGGGATAAAGCATAAATATGACAGTCTTGTTTCTGATTCTGACACTGACCTGAAGCAATTCTGGCAATTTTGAACCCCCACGCAGCCAGCCCTCCCCTCCCTTGACAAATCCACACGAGTTGGGCAGACACCACCTCCACCTTGCCAGCAGAAGTTGCTCTTGTTGGACTCCTGCCTGCTGTGCGGCTGTTAAAAGCACAGGACGTGACAACGCTGTTGTCATCCCTGTTGGCTTGAAAAGTCAGTTGATGAGAAGGAAGTTGGCACACC